AAAGTCTCATTCCCTCTAAAGCAGTGGTTCTTTATTGCCCCTAAGCTTAAACATTTTTAAATTAATTGATTTGAATAGATAATACATACATCTAGAGAAAATGCAAGCAGGACAAACACAGTGAAAATGTTTTTTCCATCCCTATAATTTATTCACCTTCTTCCCTTCCCAGAGGAAACTTCAGCTACTAATTTCTTATCTAACCTTTAGAGATATATTGTTCTTATATAAAATACATGCATGCACATGTCCCTTTTAAAAAATATTTTTAAATGTTCTGCATATTGCTTTTTTCATTTAACACTATTGGAGATGGTTTTTATATCAGTACATAAATAGCTACCTTACTCTTACTGACAGTTGCATAATATTCCATGATATTGGTGTACTGTAAGTGGTTAACCAGGTATTTATTTTACTTTCTAATATAGTTTTTTGGTAATGAGTAATGTAGATATTTTTCTGTTGGTGCCACTAAAACAGTAGTTCTTAGCCAGATGTATGTATCAGAATCACCTGGATGGTTGTCTTTTTTTAATCAGCTTGATTAGCCTGCGTTCATTCCCAGATTCTAACAAGTTTGGAGCCTAGAAACATTTTTTAAAGCTTCTAACCCTTAGTCACAAGAGAGAACCACCAATTTGAAGCTTCTTTGGAGCAGTGATCGTCAAACTACAGCATGCATCCCACCTTCCTTATAGACACAGCTTGCTGGGTCCTACTCCTGTAGTTTGAGGAGGCGGCCTGAGATTTTACATTTCTGATATTTCTGATCGATGTGATGCTGCTGGTCTGGGAGCCATACTTTGAGCACCATTTGGTCCTAGACTAAGATAAGCCCAACTTTATCCGATTCTGTGCTGCTCTTAATACCACATACAATAGGTTTTTTGTTTATCTGGGGTAAAATATATCATCTGTCTAAGTTACTCCCTATAGATAGCATATTTGTGTTAACAGTATTGAATTACTATCAGATTTGGTAAATGCTTTGTACCATAAGCAAGCTAATTATTGAATAAATGGGAGAAAGAAATGATTCACATGACCATGTCTAGTTCGTCATTAGTTTACCACCATCACTGTGCATAGGTGTGAGCTTTTGGCTAGCTTCCTGACTCTCTTAAGACATCTGTTTTAAAGCTCCACAGGTGATTCTGATGCTTGGCCCAGTTGAGTGCCACTACTAAAGTGTAAGCAGTCCTGCTTCATGGTTTTCCTGTCTGTAAAATAGAATTGTATGAGGATTCCATGTGCTAATGTAAAGTATCTGGAACAGGGCCTGGCATATGTTAAGTGCTCTATAAACATATGCATGTGTGCTAAGTCACTTCAGTCGTTTACGACTCTTTGCAACACTATGGACTTTCCAGGCCAGAATACTGGAGTGGGGTGTCTTTTCCTTTTCCAGGGGATCTTCCCAACCCAGGAATCGAACCTGTGTCTCTTACGTATCCTGCATTGGTAGGCAGGTTCTTTACCACTAGTGCCACCTGGGAAGTCCCAGTAAGTATAGGATCATGGGTAAACTTGTTATTCTGCATCCAGGCCCCACTAAGAATGAAATCGTTCTCTGCCTTTGAATATGTGTCCGCAAGGCAATCTCATAGAGAAGGCCACCAGCCCACCTGGACCTCCAGCCTGTTTTCTCCAATCCAGATCTCTTTCTTAAACTCGATATACACTTAATTCTAGGTATCTCACCCTCTAGTCACAGGACATCAAACTCAGCATGTCTAAAGCTGAGCCTTACCACCAGTCCCTGGCTCCCAAGTGCCCAAGCCAGAAACCTATGCATCATTTATCTTTGATAAACTTATTTTGGAATAAATTTAGTTTTATAGAAAAGTTGCAAAGATGATGCAGAGTGTCATACTCCTCGCCTAGTTTCCCCTAGTGTTAACATGTTAGCCAGAATACGTTTGTGAAACTAAGAAACATTGGTTGGCACATTAGTATTGACTAAACTCCAGCCTTTATTCAGATTTCACCAGTTTTTCCACTAATGTTTTTTTCTATTCTAGGATATGATCCAGCATACCTCATTGCATCTAGCTGGGCATCATTTTTGTTGCCTTCTTTATTTCCTGCCTTCACATAGTCACCAAGTTCTCGCATTTGGCTTCCTAAATCTTTTAATGAAACTCTCCATCTTCATTATCTCAGTTCCCCAACCAAGGATTGAACCTGGACTACGGCAGGGAAAGCCTGAAATTCTAACCCCTAGGCCACCAGGGACTCCCTTTCTCAGACTACTTGAACAGCTTCCGAGCTTCTCTCTACTGTTAATCCTCCTCCCTCTCCAGTTTTTTCTCTGTACTCTAAAAATTGGATCATCCATTCCTCTCCTCACTTAACACTTTCTGATGGTTTCCATTGCTTATAGAACAAAGCAACTTTATTCCATTCTATTTATATTCCCTGATAGCTCAGTTGGTAAAGAATCTGCCTGCAATGCAGGAGACCCTGGTTCAATTCCTGGGTCAGGAAGATCTGCTGGAGAAGGGACAGGCTATCCACTTCAGTATCCTTGGGCTTCCCTTGTGGCTCAGCTGGTAAAGAATCCGCCTGCAACGTGGGAGACCTGGGTTCGATCCCTGGGTGGGGAAGATCCCCTGGAGAAGGGAAAGGCTATCCACTCCAGTATTCTGGCCTGGAGAATTCCAGGGACTGTATAGTCCATGGGGTTGCAAAGAGTCGGACACAACTGAGTGACTTTGAAAATGTGAAACCTAACTTGGGTTTGACATGCTAAGCATTTCATAATCCTCTCCCAGCCTAGCTTCCCAATTTCCTTTCCTTCTACACCTCATAAAGCCCATGGCCTAACTGAATTGATATAGCCTCAGCATATGTTTTTTACTTGATACCTACTGTATAAACGGTAAGCATTGCTTCCTGAAATCTCTCTTACAGATACATATATATGTATGATTGGGTTGTGATGCAGTGCACCCTGATATTTTCTAATCTGTTACCTATACTAGATTTTTTTTTTTTTAATGCCGGCTTTGTCCTTCTTAATCGATTTTCTGAAGTTGAAAAACACTGGGAGTGTACTGATGCTTTAACACTTCTGGCCAAACCCTGCTCAGAATGGTATCCCAATTGGTTCCCATCTGCTTTCAGGTGATTAATACACTGGAAACAATTTATTCCTTCCCATGCTTGGGGTGAGAGGGGCTAGGTTGGAGAAGGGAGCAGCTGTTTTGCCTCAGGGTAGGGAAGCTTAGCTCCAACTAGTGAAGGCTGAGGAAGCTGACAAGGAGCCCCTAAGAAATGGAAGAGGCTGCTGAAATAGTCCAAGTGCCATATGTCTTATCTTCACTTAATTCCCTCAACTTCCTTCAGTCTAAAATAATGTTAGTAGTAGAACGTCTCTTGCCAGGTCCAGGTCTTTCATTAAAGCAGAACATACTTTCTGCCTTTCCTCTCATCCTTTCATATGTGTAGGTTGTGGCAGGGAACCTTCTTGGGAGAAGCAATCACATCTTTGGACCTTTCCCTTGGGAGATGATTCCTAAACCTTTCATTTCTGCAAAACACCTGACCATCTGTCTTTGACAGCATGCCTATAAAGAACTGAGGGAAGAGAATTCCAGGCAAGGAGAATGGTAAGTGCAGTGGCCCTGAGGCATGAAAGTGGCAATCTGAGGAACCGAAAGGAAACCAGTGTGGCTAGAGCAAAGTAAGTGAAGGGAATAGTTTAAGATGTGGTTGAAGAAGTAAGCAACATCTCGATTGCTGGCAGGGCTTTACTATGGTGTACCAGTGAAAACAGACCAGTTGGAAGACTACTGTAATATTCCCAAGGACCAGGGTGGTAGCCCAGGAGAGTCTTCTATCTGGATGGACTTTGTGATGGATAGGGTATAGGGACAGAATCAAATATAACTTCCTAGTTTCTGGCTTGAGCAACTGGGTTTAGAGGGTGGCACCATTTACTGAGGTCAGGAAGGTGGCCAGGTCAAGATTTGAGTACTTGAGTCAAGTACTCCATTTTGGACATGAGTAGGGCGTGTTTCAGAAGAGAGCAAGTGATCAGCCATGTCAAATGCTGCTAAGTCCAGAAGAGGGGACTTTGGATTTGTGGCCATTGATGACCTTGCTGAGTGGATTTCCATAGGCTGGTAGTGGTAGAAGCAGAGTAAAATGGGTTGAGGAGTGAATTGGGGGTGGGGAAGTGGAAGTAGGGGTGTCATAATCTTTTAAAGAACTCTTTAAAAGGAAAGGATTTATGTTTGGTAAGGTAAGAGATCCTAGAATGTGTCCTTTAGGGAATGATCTAGTAGATGACTCAGTAGGGACGGAGAGACTGAAGGTGCAGGCAAGAAAAATGGTTTGAAGAATGACCTCAAGAAGACAAAGAAGCTAGACTGGAATGGGCCAGACAGACAGCCATCAGCATTCATATTGATACATGTCTAGACCCACCACCAATGATCATGGTAACGCATCACGTAGACCTAACAGCCAGACTGGCTCCTTCACACACAGGCTCAGTCACAATAACATGCAGCCGCGCCCCCACCCAGGATTCACCTCTCTCTCACACACAGAACAGCCACATTGACAAGCCAGAGAGACCCACCGTCTATCCCCTCACACAGTGGTGCCCACAGCCCCCTCCAAGATTTCCCCCTTAGGCCCTCCACCCCATTCCCCCAGTTCCCAGGGCCTGTCTCTCCGCTGTGACCTTGCCATCTGGGGAGGCAAATCCAGGCCTGAACTGAGGAAGGCTTCACATCCAGTGAAAGGTTTTATTAAGAGAATGAGAAAGCAGTCTGGGGGGGGGGGGGTGCACTGACTGCAGGGTCAGGAGAAGCAGCCGTGAGTACAGAACCTCAGCCACAACCTGAGTCCCTGGCATCTTTCTTCCTCCCGGCCCACCCATAGCCCTTTGAGCAAAAACACCCTCTCCCTCCTAGTGGAGCTGCACATCTTGGTGCGTGAGCAGGAGACAGTGGAACAACAGCCCTCAGCTCACTGGGATAAATAAGTTGCACTGGACATTTTTAAACTTTAATGATAAATAAATAGGACAGACAGCAACAGGACTGAAGTGCAGCCTGGATTCAAGTTACCCAATTTGTGCTTTATCTTCTCTGTTCCTGAGGGCCCCTCCTGCCCACTTCTTTAGAAGAGCGGCAGAGATCCAAAGAACCCCCTGGGGCCTCCTGCCAAGCGCCCCTTTTCTGGGGGTAGGAGACTGCGAGATGAAGCACACTAGCTCAGCAGCACCTCTGGTTTGTTCATTTCCCTCCTGGTCTCAGTAAAAACAGCAAGGCCTTGGCCCCTAGGGGCACCCATCACTGCCCAGGCACCCTAATGGGCAGCACTGGCCCCAAGAACCAGGCTTTTGCGTGCCAACCTCCTCTTCAAGCCCGTCTCAGCAGTCAAGGGTCAGAAAATTGCACAGAGGAGGCAAACACCTGGGTGCTTAACTTATCAACACAGCACAAGAGGCCACTTCCCCTTACTCCAACCCAGACCCCTAACTCATGGGTTTCTGGAGGAATGTCCTTTTTCTGGTCTGACTCCAGCCCCACCTTTGAATGCTTCCAGGCCCACCCCCAGGAGCAAAGACCTCATTTCAGATCTTGCGAGCCCCTCAGGGATGGGGGGGGCAAGCAGTCACTTCCGATGTTTGGCATCTTTCTCTGACGCCTTGGCGTCACCATGCCCACTGCCCGCACTGCTTAGAAACATCTTGTCCAGCCCCTTGAGTGACTCCAGTAAGTAGTTCTGGAAGGCAGTGAGGGCAGCACAGATGGCAGGCCCGCCGAAACCATGGGTGATGAGGCTGAAGTGTGTCAGACAGCTCTGCACTCCGGGCTCCAGGATGAGCGCTGGGCGAGTGTTGCCCAGCGGTGAGCGGTCCTGCGCCATCAAGTCTGCAAACTCCTTACAGATCTGCCTGGTCGGGGAAGGACGGTCAGAGGTTAGAGGACAGAGGTCTGAGTCCAGCTGGATATCATAGATATGATTGCTGACCCAACAGTCTACAAATGATGATCATACCCATATTACAGAAAAGTAAATGAAGGTTCAGAGATGGTAACTGACTTGCTCAGTATCACACAGCTAATAAACAGCACATGCCAATACCCTATGATTTCTTTTCCTGTGGATATTCTGCCCACATTTCAAGTCCAGCTCAACTGCCTTATCCAGGAAACTTTCCTTGATTCTCTCTCCTACCTACTCCCACCTGCACCCAAAACAGACAATGCTTCAAGAGCTTTGTTTATGAAATTATTTAGGAACAATCCAGAATCTGCCTTAACTAACTGAAATAAAACCAAGCAGTGAATATGAATTGAGGCCTAGATTCTGTGCCAAGCACACTGTATCAGCTCACTTAATCTCACAACAAATCTGTATTGTTATCATCCCTGTCACATGGAAGAGGAAACTCGTTAGTTTCTGATGATTAGGTGACCTGTCCAAGTGACTAGACTGGAAGTTGAATCCAACTCCATTCTGTAGCCATCATTCATTTCTCTATGAATCCTGTGTCCACCTCAGGCAGGAGAACCACTTGTGTCTTCCCTTTGTATCACCAAGGAACCCAGTCAGCATCTTAGACATGACTGGGACCCAGGAAGGGCTTGGTGAGTAAGCTGATTAATGAGTGAGGTGGGTCCTGCCCTAGATATGTTTCTCCAGCTCCAATATGAAGTCTCAATTGCCCCATGAGTCATGGCAGTCCCGTGAGTCTGTGAGTCCATTTCTGCCCAGCGCACTTGAGAGAACCGTGAAGAAGGGAGGGTGCAGGTGTGATATGAAGAACTGCCTGAGGTGGAAGGACTGAACCCAAGAATGGGAGGGCAGGAGAGAGCAAGAGGGTCAGGTGGAGTGGGTGAAGTTCGTGCAGACCACATTGTGGGGGTCCTCAAAGGAGTCTGGATTTTACAGAACGGTGGTTTTCAAACTGCCCGTGTCTGTCTCTTCTTGCAAGGGAACCCTTTCTAAAAACTAAATCTTATCAAACATCAGTTCATTACTCAGGCCCTGCAGCGTCCCAGCAGAACCTAGTTTGAAAATCAATGCAGTAACAGTGGGAGCCGTTGAAGGCTCTTGGGTAGAGAGCAGTGCATGTGCAGGGCAGGAAGGCTGGGGGAACAGAGGGGCACTGGGGCAAATGTCCAGGAGTGAGACTAGGAGACCAGCGTCGAAGTGGCATGTGAGTGGGCTGAGGGAGGCATCCGTGAGACTTGTAGAGGGGTCAGGTGTGAAGGAAGGACAGAGTAGGGTCAACACAGGGGCCTGGCTGGGTGCCCTGATGCAGGTCACAGGAGCAGAGGGCCTGACTGGCAAGGCTCAGGCGTGGGTGCCAGGCTAGAGACCCTTGGACCCACGATGGGACTGGGGCTGGTGGTGCCGTGGGGGCATGGAACCCACACATGGGCTTCTGTGTGAGCCTGTCCTGACACTGTGTGTGTGACACAGAACTCAGATATGCTCACACGTCCACGTGCACCCTGTCACGTGCAGCATGAGCCTAGGTGTGCACAGAGCCACACACACCGTGTGTGCACCGCGGGACACGTGGTGTCCACTGGGCCCACGCTCGGCGCCCGTGTCTGTGTGCGGCACCCATGGGAGCCTGTGCGCGGCGCCCTCACTCACTTGGCAGCCAGCAGCATGCTCTTGCGGCCGTGCAGCTCCCCGGGGTCAGTATGTTGTCGGCCCAGGTACTCGGCAGCTGCCTTGGCTGGGAACTCGGTCTCACAGACGTAGCCAAAGTCTCGGGCCAGGTGGACGGCCTCTCCTGCGGGGAGGGGAGGCAGAGATGAGACGCCACCAGCCAGGTGTACCTCTGAGCCTGGAAGCCCCGGACCAGGGCTATCCTCCATTCTGATTCTATGTATGTATCTCCTTCCGATTCCCCTCTCAGCTCTGGTCACAACCCCACTGCCCTCCCTTCTCGGAAGGTCTCTGAGCTCAGGGATGGGAGCTCTGTCCCAGTGCCTGAATTCAAGATGACTGAGCTCAGAGTCACCAACCTCCCGGGAGCGGACTCTAACCCCATCATCTCTACCACATTCAAACACTGGCCACTCTTCCTCACACACACACACACACACACACACACTCACTCACTCCACTGCATCAGCACATGCATCTGTGTGCTGCGCATACATGTAAAGACTACATGTATTTCACACATACCCCTTATATATGGTGCACAGAGAACACACATATGACTAAACACACCCTCCTGCATCCAAGACAGTCACACACAGTCACACTGGGTGGCACGTGGCCCCTCGGGCCTCACCCTCTACTAGCGAAGTCAGCAGGGTCACGTTGGCGGCCTTGCGACGGCCAGCGGGCAGGTTGAGCCCAATCTTCTCCAGCCGTTCGCGCAGGCACCGGCCTCCGTTCTTGGACTTGGCCCTGGACGTGCACAGAGAGACACACACGCTATGAGAGAGAATCACGTGTGCTCAGTGAGTCAACAGGGCCTGGCTGCCTCCACCAACCCTGCTGAGGCTTGGGTCTGGCCTTGGGGACACACTGGGGCCTCCACCTGCCCGATCCCGATCTCTTCCTAATCTCACTGCGGAAAGGGGGCCGTACACCCAGTTCCAGGAACCCCTCATTTCTCCCTAATCCTCCCAATAGCAAGGACAACCCAAGGTGGGGCAGGATGGACCAGCATCTCAGGGTTCTTCCTCCCACCTGTGTACATCAACACAGCTACCCAGGGACATGCAGGCCCAGAGACAAACGGGAAACACAGAGTGATACCTGGAGACATTGTTATACACACAGCTGCCCAGGGGCACACACACACACACACACACACACACACACACACAGATGAAATGCACTGAGGGCCAGGAACAGAGACATGCACACCAATAGAGACAGACACACAGTCTCAGAGATCCAGGACACAGAAACACATGTCCACACCAAGTCAGGAGCCCAGGGACATTTGTGCAGACGCCCACGCATTCATATAAGCCACTCTGGGATGCTCAGAGACCAGGAATAAGGGGATATTCCCACACCTGCACAAATGCAGCCCCTACCCAAGGGTGCACGCTCAGTCACTCAGTCGTGTCTGACTTTGCGACCCCCATGTATTGTAGCCCACCAGGCTCCTCTGTCCGTGGAATTTTCCAGGCAAGAATACTGGAGTGGGTTGCTACGTCCTACTCCAGGGAATCTTTCTGACTCAGGGACTGAATCTTCCTGCTTTGCAGGAAGGACTTTGCAGGGGGACTCTTCACCACTGCACCACCTGGGAAACCCCACACAAAGGTAAGCATATACTCATACAGACATACAGGGTGGAACATACTCTACCCAACACATCCCACTGAAAGTAACACAGGAAATGCACACTCATGGAAACATATACTCCTGTCCACTCCCTACACCATATACACACAAACACACATGTAAGCATGCACACAAACACTATCCTCAAATACATCAAAAGCCATAGTCCTGAAGCAGAAATACCTACCCAGGCACAAGGACATACTCAGAAAGAGACAGACCCAATTATGAAGACAAACCATGGACCCCATGCTCCCTGCCCAGAACACACACATCAGAGAGGCCTATACTGACACAGGGAATGGGCCTTAAGTCCTGGGGATCCTTTTTCTGGGTGGGGTGAGGTTGAAAATGTCCCTGTCTCTTCCCCTAACCCAGCCTTGTCTATCATGCCCAAGGTGGGTGAGTCCTGCATCCCTTCTTGGTACCCAGGCTCTTCTCTACCCCCGACCTTCCAGCCTGCAGACCCATGGGAGCTGCCAAGGACGTAGGCCTGTCCAGAGAGCATGCACAATCCTCCTGGGAGACTGAGATGGAGATGACCCTGTGTCCTGGGGTGGGGCCGTCCCCTCTCCAAACCCCTGAGAAAGTCTGAAAGGACCCCAGGTTTTAGCCTTGACCCTGGGCAGGGAGCTGTGGGCTGGCCTTCATACCTGCGAAGGACACCACCCAGGAGAGAGGCATTGAGGCACTCAGGAGGTGAGAGTCGCCGCTGGACCTCCCCCACCGTCACCTTGTACTTGGACGTCGAGCTGAGCAGAGAGAGCCGGCCGGGCACGGAGCAGAAGACCTCACTGGGGTTCGTGATGCCGCCAACCAAGCTGTCTTTGGCCAGTGAGAGGGCCGAAAGGCTGCTGGCTTTGGAGAGGATGGGGACTGTGGGGCAGAAGCGAGAGCAAGGGAGAGAGACAACACTGAACAGGGGCCATGGGGCACGGGCACTAGCCAGATGGGATGCGAGCACGCTGCTGAGGCGCCAGCTGCGTGATGGCACCGTGCTCACAACCTATGCGCACACACAGCTGCTTCTGCACGTCCCAGCACCTTCCAGAAGGAGCTTCCACTAACCCTGCTTTACAAGGGAAGAGACTGAAGCACCATGAGGTTAACGTGACTCACTCACGTTCACTCAGCCAGTGGGTGGTGGAAATGAAACTCAAAGTTCTCTGGCTCTGGAACCCCAACTCCCTTCACTGAGTCAGGCTGGTTCCCTGTTAAAAATCAAACAGCCTCAGCAGTCTTGGGAGTTTGGGCATGCGTGATCACAGAGGGTATTGGAAATAAGGAAATGGAATGTGAGCTGGAGACTGGATTCCTGGGTCACTGCAGCAGGGCCCAGCCAGATCTATGCAATCACAAGGAGTCCCCGATTCCCTGCTCCCACTCACCTGTGATCCCCATGTCTCCCCCAGCATCTCAGGTCAGTGAAAGGCCTGGGGGCTTTGGACTCCCCCATCCCAGGGACAGGGAGGTTATGGCCCCATTAGGCCCCCAACCCTGGCCCTCTTCCTGCTAAGTCACTCCGGGATGCTCAAGGAGCCCAGGAATAAAGAGACATCCCCTATCGTTCCCTCCCCCAATACTCTTTAATTTTGTACTAATATCTATGAAGGGCAGATAAGGGAATCTGAGAAGTTTATTTTTTAACACGCATTTGGACACTCTTGGCTCTAAAAGAAAGTTCTTCCTGCAGTCTAACCTCCATTCTCCTGCTAAGCCTCAGGGGAAAGGGAGAACAACTGAAGCACCTGTTTCCCCTTGGGCTTTTCTTCTTTCAAGGAAGTGAGAGCCTTAGTAGAAAAGGCAGGCCTTCTGTATTTGGGGAGAGGAATCAAGTGGAGATCCTGAGACCAAGAGTCAATGAGCACTCACTATACTATATACTCTGTGCTTCTACCGATAACCTTACTGAATCCTCAGAACGAGAGGTTACGTTTATTATCCCCATCTTACAGATGACAGACTGAAGCCCAGAGAGGTAAAATAATGTGTCTGAAATCATGTAGCTGATAGACTTAGTACCAGTAGTAAGCCCTGGACTGTGGTCTCAAAGGCGGCACTTGGTCCTCCAGTCATCTGGCAAAATGTTCGCTGCGCACTGGTGTGCGGGGAACTGTGCTAAGCCTCGGGAAAGCAGAGGTAAGCAAGGCTGGCCCAGTGCCTGGCCTGGCAGAGCCCCTCCAGCTTTCCCCTCTGAATGTGCATTGAAACCCTCCCTGCCTTCGCCCAGCCAAAAACCTCAATGAGGCCCTCCACACCGCCCTCTGCCACCCCACTGCACCCATCAGCTAGGGCTTTCTTTTCTCCACGTGCCTGGATGCAGCCACAGGTATAGAGGGACACTCACTCACTTCCCACCTGAATTTCTGCACAGCCCCTGCTCCAGAAGGATCGTTCTGAAACATCCATCACTCCCCAGCCTAGAACTCATCAGTGCCTGAGAATCAAATTCTAGCTCCATAGCTGAGCAGAATGATGCTGCCTACCCTCCACTGAGTGCCAAGCATATGCCAAGGGCTTCACATTAACAGGTCTGTGGAGTAGATGGTATTTTTATCCCCATTTCAAATAAAGAGACTAAAAGTTCAAAGTATAAATAGTTAAGCTGGCTCAGCAATAAGGACCAGAGATGGGTCCTGACCTCTGATGGTGACCGTGACTATCATAGCGCCCTTCTTGGGACTTCCTTGGTGGTCTAGTGGTTAAGAATCTGCCTGCCAATGCAGGGGGCATGGGTCCATCCCTGGTCAGGAAGCTAAGATCCCACATGCTGCACAGTGTGGCCAAATTTTCTTTAAAAAGTGGGACCTAGCTTGTGGTCCAGCCCTTCCTACCTGTCTTGCTTGGTCTTCCATCTGCCCTTTATGCTCTCGAACACACTGTCCAAGACCAGTACACTCTGAGCCACATATATCAATTTAGATTTTCCAGAAGCCCCATTTTTAAAAAGTGAGAAACACATTAAGGCTAATTTTAATATATCTTACTTACCCCAATAAATAAATATATTCTCACTGAGTCATATAATCAATATTTTGAAAATTATGAATGAGCTATTTTACATTATTTTCTTGTACTTCGTCTTCAGAACTCAACACATATTTTATACTTACAACCCATCTTAATTTGGACTAGCCACACTTCAAGTGCTCTATAGCCACACATGGCTGGTGGATCCCACAGTGGACAGCACAGTTGTGGACGTCAAAGCGGAGAGTGCAGCAGTTAATATAAGTAAGTGAGATATGGGAGAGTGTTACCATGTAGGACACACCAACATTGCCAGAACTCTTAATTTGTCCAGGTTTTTGGTTTGTTTGTTTTTTTTTTTGCTGATAAGACCAGAATTTGAGGTTTCTAGGTGATATCTCCGGATTTTTTTTTTTTTTCACTGCACTGTGCAGTTTATGGGAACTTAGTGCCCTGACCAGGGATCGAACACACACCTCATGTGATGGAAGTATGGAATCCTAACCTCTGGACCATATGGGAATTCCCTGGATTTTTAAAACATTGGCCAACTGATTCAAAAGTTTAGGGATGTCCTTGGTGGTCCAGTGGCTAAGGACTAGATTCCATGTGCAATCTCATATGCTGCAACAAAGATCTAAGATTTCATGTCCCACAACTAAGACTCACCACAGTCAAATAAAAACTTAATTAAAAAGATTCATAGAAATGCACATTTAAAAAGGGTGAACTGTACTATATGTAAATTATACCTCAAGCTTGACTTAAAAAAATAAAACTATGAATAATAAATTAACAAGAAGGGCAAAGAGACTGTCCGGTCGCCCATGACTCCTAGGCAGAAGGAATGGTCAGAAGAATAGAAAGTTCTTCTCTCCCCCAGCAGCCTCCTCCATCCATCTGGAGACCTCTGAGGCCAGGCTCTGTACCAGGAGAGAAGAGAGACCAAAGCGGGGTGAAGCCATTTGTGCATGTGCAAACAGGGACATATGTGAGCACACGTGTCACACAAATGTCTATACATAAAAACGACATGCCCTGCCATAGAGCAATGAGGGTGAACCTGTGCATGCGTACACTTAACGACAAACAGTGAGCCCAGCTCCATACACACAGGCTCTGCCCTCCTCCAGTGTTGCAGGAATGCAGCAGTGTACGTAAGGCTATCTGCAAGCGCTTTTGCTACTGTTGATACATTTAAGCATAGAGTATATGCCAGATTTATGCAGACATAGGTGCAGCTAATGTAGTGCAAGACAGGTGGAGAAGTGTTTCTGTATATGAATTAAGGACTTGGCTGCTTCCCCCCACTTGTCTGTATCTTTCCCCTCAGAGCTTCTTCCTTCAAAAATGATGGGTGTGAAGCCAGGGTTAGGCAGGGAAGCGGGTGGCCTGGGGAAAGAGCAGTCACAAAGGTGGGAATTAACTAGCACAGATTGCAAGGCAGGGACACTGGCATCTGTCTCCCACACCACGGTGAGTCCTGAAGCTGGAGTGGTCCACTCATGGTGTCCCCCGGTCATGCACGCAGAAGGATGTACACACATGTGCACACGCCTACAGACAAGACTCACACACACCACACAAGTCTATACACTCTGTCCACAGGTGGGAGATACGTTCTGACCACTGGTTCTGGGCAGTATGCCACGGATGCTCAGAAAGCTGGTTAAAACTGCAATTCTTTCTAGAATAAAATACAGGAGAAAAGCCTTCCTGACCTTGGACTGGGCAAAGAGTTCCTCATACAACACCAGAACATGATCCATAAAAGAAAATCATGAAACTAGATTTCATCAAAATAAAAGACTTTTGTATGTGAAAAGACACTATTAAGAAAATGAGGGGCTTCCCTGGTGGTCCTGAGGTTGGGAATCTGCCTTGCAACACAGAGGATGTGGGTTCGATCCCTGGTTGGGGAACCACGATCCCCCATGCGGCAGCCCAACCATGCACCACAACAAGTGAACTTACGTGCCACAGCTAGAGTCCATGTGCCACAAAAAAAGACCCTGCATGACCCAGTGAAGACCCCATGTGATGCAACTGAGACCCCCACGCAGCCAAGTAAATAAATAAAAGCAAGAGTCTCTTTTAAAAAAATGAATGAAATACTCTTGAATAAGACATCTACAAATCCTATATCTTATCAAGGATGTGGATCCAGAATATATGACTTCTTATAATTCAATAGTAAGATAAATAACCCAATCAGAGAATATTCAAAGCATGTGAATAGATGTTTCACTAAAAATGAGATATGAGTGGCTATCTCATATCTCTAAGCATATGAGAAAGAGCTCAACATTACTAGTGATTAAGGAAATGAAAATTAAAAATATACTGAGATACTCACCAGGAAGGCTATAATCAAATAGACAGACATATCAAGTGCAGATGATGATGTGAAGAAATTGGAACCCTCACATCTATTTGGTAGGAATGTAAAATAGTACAGCTGCTTTAGAAAACAGCTTAGGAGTTTCTTTAAAAAATTAAAGACAAACTCATAAAAATCCAGCAATTCCACTCCTAGGAATTCAAAAGCAGTGAAAATATGTCCACACAAAAATGCATTGTGAATGATCACAGCAGCATTATTCATGCTAGCCAAAAAGTGGAAACAAACCCAGAATCCATCAACTGATGAATGAATGAACAAAATGTGTTACATCCATACAATGGATTACTACTAAGCAATAAAAAAGGGACAACCTACTGATAAAATCTACAATACAGATGAACCTCAAAAATAAGTACAAGAAGCTAGATGCAAAAGTTGGCATATTTATATATATGTTTCATTTATATAACATGTCCAGTATATGCAAACATATAGACAGAAAGCAGATCAATGGTTGCCTAAAGCTTGGAGTGGGAATTAATTACAAACGAGAATACAGGATTTGGGTGTTGGAAATGTCTTCAAACAGACTGTGGTAATGGTTACACCACTCTGTAAGTGTCCTAAAAATCTTCAAATTGTACTCTTCCAATGGGTGAATTTCAGGTATGTAAATTTTACTTCGATCAATCAGTTTTTTAAAAAATGAAGTCCCAGGGCCATATTTCCAGGGATTCTCATTCAATAGATGTGAGATGGTGCCCAGGAAATCTTCATTTTCTTAAGCAAGCACCCACTGGGGATTTGATGCATGTGGTTCCTTAGACCACACTTAGGGTCCCACCAATCCAAGGCCTCTGGGGAGAGGGACAGCAGGAGAAAAGCGGACAGGAGGGGTCCTGACCCTCCTCCCAGCCCACTTGAGTTCCCTCACCTTTCCCAGTGGGACCTGCTGGTTAAGTTTCCATCTCACCAACTGCTAGAGGGTTTCTTTTTTTAATTTTTAATTTCTTGGCTCAATCATGTGGCTTGTGTGATCTTAGCTCCCCAACCAGGGATCAAACTCACGCCTTCTGCATTGGGAGCTTAAAGTCTTAACCACTGGTCCACCAGGAAAGTTCCTAGAGGGTTTCTTTTATTTCAAATTTTAATTTCTTTTAATTGAGATACAGTTGATGTACAATATTACATAATATGCATGGGTACAACATAACAATTCACAATTTTTAAAGATATATTCTATTGATAGTTATGATAAAATAATGGCTATGTTCCCTGTGTTGTCTTGTCCTTGTAGCTTATTTTGTATCTAGTAAGTTTGTACCTCTTGATCCCCACGCCTATCGTTCTCTTCTCCCTTTCTTTTAAATATAACTCCTACCCTTCACTGCCCTGCGTGTGCTATGCTGCCCTCAGGCAGAGTCCACAGTCCATTTGCAGCGGTTTTTTTAGTCTCATGCTGGGGCTGACGGTAGCCTAGGAGGCAAGTGAGGCAGGGTTGTAGAAGTGAGAGTCAGATTCCGTCTTTGTGTAAAATTCTGGTATCCTGTGTATTGTGGATATATGTTGCATTTAAAAATTAGAAAAATATTGCACTAAGATACGTTATTTATCTTGATTACTGAGCTCCCAATCTTGCTTCAAGTGAGTTCCTCACTTACTTCACCCCAATCCTGGCCCTCCTGTGAAGCCCAGAAACTCCCCATTCCCTTTTCCTTCCCCAGAGCCAGGGAGAGCAGAGGAAAGGGTGACTTCACACCAGTCTCTGTCCTTGGAATGGACAACAGAGCCCAGCAAGGGATTTCCACAACTACTCACTCTCCTTGGAGGGAAGGAGGAACATCTCAGTTCTCATCCCCAAACCACTCTGTGTAGTCAGTAACCCATGGAGATGTTTAACCTTTTTAAACCTGTTGGCCTTTCCAAAGAGAGGGCATATGCATATGCCATGCCCGGTGGGGTGAATGTAGCTCGGCCATTTGTACACTACCTCTCCGAACGCATGCAGACTTCAAACCCTGTCACTCACTCATTCAACAAACCTCCGGAACACCTACTGAGCCTCATGCTAATGTTTCAATTTCAGGGCTCACCGCTTGTCTTTGGAGCTCCCATTACGACCTGTACAAACCGGCTCACTGCTGATATTCCTGGCCCTGTCTCTCTGGCCAGTCCCGCCCACTTTTTGTGCCCCTAGGACAGGTCGAAAACTGAAAGTGACAAATGTGGGTAGGAAATTGAGGGCTCCCTGCTTCCCTTCGGCTCAGCCTCGCCCCGTTTGCCATCGAGGTCGCACAGCTTCCCTGGCGGCAAAGGGCTGTCGACCTGTAGGGGTGTGGTGTGCCGGGGCCTTGCCGCCCCTCCCCTGCCTGGCCTCCCCTGACTCGCGGTCAAAGTGCGGGCCGAGGCCTCCTCCAAGTAGGAAAACTGCTTCTGGGGTAAGGCTGGGCTGCCTCCCTTTCACATCCAGGACCGCAGCCGCCCCTGACACAGCTGCTCTTCCCGCCACGGCCAGGAGGAGCTGGAGGAATGCAGCTAGCCAAGAACGAGTTTCTATAATTTCAGGGCTTTCCATAATTCTGTAACTCCAGGATTTTCTATAAATCCAGGAGTGGGACGGTCCTCCATCGCCCCTGGCAGATGCCAGAGGACTTCAGGACGGGACCGGGGCTCCAAGTCTTCGGAAAGACCCGAGGGCGAAGAAGGAAGCTGACCAACCGCGCCCACGTGGCTGGTGGCTGGCCCGAGTCCCGCAGTGGCTGCGGAGGGCGCAAACAATAATCACCCGCTGTGTGGGGCGTGGAGGCTCCAGGACGCAGGGCTTCAGCTGGGCCACCTGCTTGGCCACGGCTAGGTCGCCCGTGCGAGCGCGCTCCGAGGCCTGACCTTCGCAGATGGGCTCTGCCTGCCTGGTTGCAAAGCTGCAAAGTACCGCACGAACTCCGTCTCCTTCCCAAAGGCTAGCCGCGCCGGCCGCCAGCCAAAGGCCAAGTTCGCCGCTTAGGAACCAGCCTCTTCCTTCATTTGGAAGATTGAGCTCTCGCCCCTCCCCGTTTGCGGCACTGCCCTGGGCTGTGACTCTCCGCCCAGGTTGGGGCTCCCAGCGTGCAGTCCCTAACTCAGGTCGCCGGGCCACCCACGGGCTGACACTGCAGTCGGGCTGGTGTGCGCGCCCGCGACGGCGACATCCCGCACAGCACGGGCGCCCACGTCCATCCCGCACCCGCCGGAGTCCAACACTCCGAATCCTGGCCCCACTCCCTGTGTTCTTGGGGCTGCTTTGGGGGATCCTCGCGCACCCCTGGGACCCAGTATTTATGGAAGTTTGGGGCTGGGAGTTTTAGGCAGTTTTAGTTCCTCTTTGTAGCCAGTCTCTTGTCCTGGCTCTGTCCAGGGGATTGGGGTTTAAGGTACTCAGAGGCCCAGCTGGTTTTTCTACCCTTCCCCAAAGCAGAAATCCCCAGGTTCCTTGGGCTTCCCAGGTGGCGCTAGTGGTAAAGAACCCGCCTGCCAAAGCAGAAGATGTAAGAGACATGGGTTTGATCCCTGGGTCGGGAAGATCCCCTGGAAAAGGGAATGGCTACCCACTCCAGTATTCTTGCCTGGAGAATCCCATGGATAGAGGAGCGTGGTGGGCTAGACCACAGCGTTGCAAAGAGTCGGACACGACTGAGTGACTTGGCACACACATCTCCCCCAGGGTCAGTGAGTCCAGGCCGCCCCAACCCACTGAGTCCTGGCAGGAGTCGGGAACTGGGGACTGAGACCGCGGAGACCATCTCCAGGGGACGCAGCCCGGTGGCAGGCTCTGGCCACTGGAGACGAGTTCTTCCTTCTGTCACTTTTGGAAAAATTCACTAAAGCAAGGCAGTGGCCGCTAGCAGAGCTGGCTCTGACCACACACCTCTGCTGGGACTCCAGGCAGCTTCCCCAAACCCCTAGCTCCAGGTAACACAGCCCCAGTACCTGGTGCCCCCTTCCCCCAAGTTCTGGGTGGACTCTTCCCTCATCTTTCCCCACACATACTCCAGGTGGTCCAGCTAAATCCTAGCCCCAAGTCTTGGAAATTCAAGTTCCGCCCCGCGCCCTGTCCCTCCCCGTCCCACACGCTCTCTGGGAGGGCAGACTGAGCCCTGGCTTGAATTCACTGGTTTGAAAAACAACTTGTGCCTGCCCTGGGCACTGTGGGCTTATCTGTGCCTCCATATTCCTCTCTTCACTGCCCCATCCCCAAATTCAAGGAGCCTGCTGGATGCCTGAGCTTCCTGAGTCTCTGTCTTTCTCACCTTTCTCTGTCACTGTCAGAAGTCACAGGTCTCAAGATCCAGTGAAGGGCAGATCTCAAACCCCTGGCTTTTACTAGGGCAGAGAGACACAAACACCCTGAAAATAAACAACTCTCCATGCTTAGAGATCCTCAGTGCCAAAAAACAAGTTTCTGGACACAACAGGGACCCTGACCCCCACAAGCATGGGAATTACACCAACATGACGGACACACATTACACACTCAACAGCAAAAGACACCAAGAAATACTAGAAAGACACCTGGGAAAGGAATATTTTAGACATGTACAGGACTGCAAACTCACATGGACACCAGGCCCTGACCCTCCTGCACATGGCCTGACACAATATTCACAGACCAGCTCCCTCACCCCGAACACTGAAAGAGGCTCCCCAGTGGAGAGAAAATTCCCTAGGGAAACCACAAGACTCTGGAGACCCTGCTGGGAAGGGAGCGGCAGAAAGAACCCAGCAGGTGAGGAAATGGTAAGGCTCCCTAAAGTGGAAATCATTTAAGGACGTCCATGGGAATAGCACCCCTATTACCACCTCTTAGGAAACAGGGAAGTGGTTTAACTTGTTCTGCAAATTAACTCCAGATCTAAAAGAGTGCCCTCCTTCTTGGTAGGGAGAGGCCAGGCCCCTGCACAGGCCTGGCCGCCAGGGTGGCTAAGTGAGCGTGGTCGGATTTCCGGGGCACCCTGGCTGGCAGGCTCTGGGGCCAAGTCACCAACCAACCCCAGCTGCCCGGGCTTGCAGCCTCCGTAGCCCCTCTACTGGGCCGGAAAGAGTGACCGGTGGCCGCCGAGCTCGGCGATGCACAGGAGGGACGCGCCGTAGGGAAGACGTTGGGTCTGTGTGCCAGGGCTTGCATCATCTCGCCCAGTTCTGCCCTGGCAGTTGCACGCCATTCTTCCTTACCTTTCTTGATCACCGACTGGTCCAGGAGGCTCATTCCCGGTTCGTCCATGGCCTGCAAATAGGACAGGGTAGTGGTAAGGGCGCTCGTAGACTCTAGTAACTCTTGTCGCTTTCCAAGCCCCTGCAGTCCCCGCTCCTCGCACTGTCTGCTCCGCCCAACGCGCACCACCCGTCGCCTGCGGCGGCCTCGGGCGGGACTAGGATTCACCGGCGCTCCAGCATTTGCGGCCGAGTTGGAGGCCTGGGAACCTCGCCGTGTAGTTCAAAGAGAGAATTTTGAACCTCAGGCAATTCCTCCGCCTCTCTTCGCTCCAGGCCCAGGCTGCCCCGGTAGACCAGGAGTGGGCATAGATGCCCTGCATTGCCCAGCGGAGAGGGACAGAGTGGTTCAGCCCCTGTCCATTTACTCGGCGAAGGGTCGCCGCCACCCAGACCCCAGGCTCACGGACTCAGAGCCCGGCCGCCTGAAAGGCCAGGCAGCGTCCAACTCAGGACGTGGGGTGCGTCCTCGGTAGGCTGGGAGAAAAGTCGGGCGGGTTCCTGCATTGGCCGCTCTTTGCCCCCGCCAGGTCCTAAGTCACCGCAGCGGATGCTGGCCCATCCAGGACCGTTCGGGCCTCACCTGCAGGTCCTCCAGGCCCGGCGGGGCCGCCAGCCCGGGGAGGCCGAGGGGCGCGTCGGCCAGGCCGTGCGCGCCCTCGGTCAGGCCTTGCAGGAGCCGCGGCACAGCAGCGGCGGCGTAATACGGGTCCCCGGCCAGGTGGGGAAAGGCGGCGGCGGCGTCGGGCGCCTGGCCGTATGGCAGCGGCGGCTGCGGGTAGGGCGGCGGGAAGTAAGGCGGCTGGAAGTCGGCGGCGGTGGGCGTGTGGCACAGCGGCGGCGCCGGCCCGTAGGCCGCCTGGGGCAGCGAGGACAGGCGGGCTCCGCCCGCCGCTGCGCCCAGCCCGTCGGGGCGCTCCTGGGGAAGGAAAGGGGCGCGTCAGGCGATCCAGCGGCAGCTGAAAGGACCCTCCTCAGCTCCCGAGGGGCCGGCTGCCGTCCTGCCCGCTCCCGGGGCCCGAGGTCTATCTCTGAACGACCCGTGGGCGCGGGAACCTTGGGCTGGGGACAGCGATGTCCCGTACGCACGGTTCTCCGCGGGCGCAGTCGCTGTGGCCCCCTCCATCCGAGATTTCGTTGGAGTAGGAGTCTCGGAACGGAAGGTCCAGCACCCAGGCTGCCTGATCCGCGGCCGGGCACGCCCCCGTGCCCGAGACTACTCACCATGGCGGAGTAAGCGTGCACCAGCATGGGTCGGGCAGCGTGGGGCGCGAGGCGTGGCGGCTGCGGAGCCCTCGCCCGACGGCGAGCGCGGCGGGGAGAGGTGCGCGGAGCCTGCAGGACCCCCGGGCGGTCACTGCACGGTGGCGGGGTGCAACCCAGCCCGGAGCCAGCCAGGCATCTGGTCCTCAGCAGTGGGTGTCCCCGGCCGGGTCCATGGGGGCGGGATGTGGGTCGGACGGGCGCTGATCGCACTTGGAAAAGTCGGTCAACGGGTGCCCAGCGCCCGCCCTTCTTCCTCTGAAGGCAGCTTGCTCCATGCACACCAGTTATAGTGGCGGGGGCGCGCGGGGCCTCCGGGGGCGCGCATTAAAGAGACACGCTAGGGCCGCATTCTCCCCGCTCCCCAGTGACTGCTCAAGAGGAGGCGTGGCTTTGGCGCGACCCCCTGGAGAGGACAGGGTGGTGGTTCCTATCCGCGCTGGTCTGAGAGCCTTCTAGGCTCGAAGCTCCCAGCTACCTTGAAACAGAAGAATTCGAGGTTGGGACACAAGGGCCTTAGTTTGCTTTGGCTCGGCCCCATCTTTGCCTTTGGAGCAAAGCACTGCCTTTCCTCGGCTTTAGCTTGCTCGTCTGTAAGATGGGTATCAGTCCTTTCTCTAACCACCTCACCCCATTGTGGGTGAGGTGGGCAGTCCTGAAAGTGGAAGAGGTTTGTGAGCTGCAGACTCAAGCCCATTGGCTCCTGTGCAAACATATGTCAGTGCATGGGTCTGTGTGTGTGTGTGTGTGTGTGTGTGAGTTGGGGGCCATCACAGCCTCTCTGCATGTTTCTGGATAGAAGCCCCTCTGAGGGTGCTTACTTTACTCAGGCTTCCCCCAGCTGGTAACTCCCAATGCCTAGCCAGGGTCTGAGGAAGTTGGAGACACAAACTAACTGCAGAGAGTTGCCTGGCCCTGGGATTGGGCATGAGTTCAGTCTGAGTAGGGTTTGGGGTATTTCTGAGCCTTGAGGTCCTGGGCTGATTGAGCGTGGGTGGGTCATAGGCAGAGGATGTTGAGTGAAGCTGTAACTGACAGCATGTGGACCATGTGCTGTCATTGCATTTACATGCATGACGTGCACGGGCTGTGTGTTGGCATATTACCAGGACAGGCACTGGCTGGCTGGCACGCGTGTTCCAGTCTCAGCAGTCACTTTTGCTTGACTTCAAATCCCAGCCTTTCCTTCCTGAGAAACAGGGACAAGAATTAAAGAAAGGGAAATGAGAGGGGGCAGCAAAGGATGAGACGGTTAGATAGCATCACTGACTCCATGAACGTGAGTGTGAGCAAACTCTAGAAGATAACGAAGGGCAGGGAATCTTGGTGTCCATGGGGTCACAGAGTCAGACATGACTTAGTGACTGAACAACAAAATGAGAGAAATGGTAAGGGGGATGAGAATTAAGAAAGCAGATGGAAGGTGTTAAAAAAAAAGTTGGGCTCTTCCCTGGCAGTCCAGTGGTTAAGATTTTGTGCTTCCATGGCAGGGGGTGTGGGTTAGATCCCTGGTTGGGGAACTGAAATCCCACATGCCACGTGGCACTGCCAAAAAGATTTTTAAAAAAAGAAAAAAAAATGGCAAGAAGGTGCTCCGAGCAGGGCAGAGCAGAAATGTTGTTCAGCTGCTAACTCGAATCCGGCTCCCCAGCCCCATGAACTGGAGCCTGCCTGGTTTCCCTGTCCTTCACTGTCTCCTGGAATTTGCTCAAACGCATGTCCATTGTGTGGATGATTCCATCCAACCATCTCATCCTCTATCACCCACTTCTCCCTTCTGCCCTCAGTCTTTCCCAGCATCGGGGTCTTTTTCAATGAATGGGCTCTTCACATCAGGTGGCCAAAGTATTGGAGCTTCAGCTTTAGCATCAGTCCTTCCAATTAATAGTCAGGGTTGATTTCCTTTAGGATTGACTGGTTGGATCTCCTTGCAGTCCAAGGGACTCTCAAGAGTATTCTCCAGCACCACTGTTCGAAAGCATCCATCTTCAGCGCTCAGCCTTCTTTATGGTCTAGCTCTCATGTCTGTACATGACTACTGCAAAAACCATAGCTTTGACTATATGGACCTTTGTAGGCAAAGGGATGTCTCTGTTTTTTAATATGCTGTCTAGATTTGAGTAGAAATGATCACAACTTATTACATACTATGTCAGACTCTGCACTAAATACTTGATGAATATTGAGTTATTTAATGCTCACAACAACCCTATGAGATAGAAACCCTTATCACCCCTCTTCTCAGGTGAGCTATGTGAGATACATAGAAGCCACATGACTTGCCCAAGGTCGAGGAGCTAGTTAAGTGGCAGAGCTGAAAGAGTCAGCTTCTCACCTCTTTCTGTGTTCAGAATGACTATTCTGTATTGCCTCAGACTCAGGTGCCTAGAATTAAGTCCTAACTCTGATGAACTGTGTGATTCCGAGCAAGCCCCCTTTCCTCTCTGACCTCAATTTCTGCAACATCAACAACAGCAATATGGGGGGGAAGAATGGACTAGATGTTTTCTTAGACCCCTTTCTAATGAAGTGGAAATGAGAAAGTAAAGATTAAAATAGTGAGCTAGATTAGAGAGAAAGGGAGATAGAGAATGGGAGGTGTGTGGAGGAGACCTGAGGGGCGTTTCACAGAAGGCACACCTTGCGTGCAGAGCTCAGGTCTGAGTCATCTCAGTCTGGGAGGCTTTAGGGGAAGGGGGAGGATAGAAACAGCCAAAGTTTCATCACTAAGGACTTTCCAGAAGCTGAAACCACCAGCTAAGGTGGTAGAGAAAGCAAAATTGGGCAGCTTTGCAACCTCATGCCCAGGGCAGATAAGAAGTCAGGAGTGTGTGTATGTGTATCTACATGGATGTGGGGGTCTGTAGTGAGACCCCTCTTCCCCACAGGACATTAGACATCAGGCTCCAGGACAGGTGTACATGTGACAGCACATGCATGCAGGTCAGTGGACGCCTTTGAGAAACGTCCAGGACCAGTGAGACTTATGATGCCTGTGCCAGCCCTGGGCATCTCCTGCTCTCCTCAGGAGGCTTGGGAAGGCCAGAGTGACCAGAAACGCTGCCTGCCCGGTGGCTTTCCTCACCTTACTTCCTTGCAGTTTAAGACAACACTTTCTTGCTTATTTCTCCTCCTTTCTGACCCTTTCTCAATCTTCTCTTCTATCTCCCCTCTTTTCACCCACACCCTTAAGGTCCCTTATTCATCCTGAGTTGTAGCTGCTACCTTTTCTTCCTAGCTACACTCTTCACTAGTGAGTTCATACCCTTTCAAGACTTGAATGACTCCCTGTTCGTTGTTATCTCCCAACCTTGTTATCTCCAGTCTGTATCTCTCACTAGAAATCCAGACCCATAGGTGTGATTGCCTACTGGATATTCCCTCCGGACACCTTGTTGCAGCTGAGACCATCCAAACCCAAACTGAAGTCAAACATCTCCTCTACCACCACCACCAACTCCAACCTGCTTCTCCTCCAATGTTCTAGAGCTCTGTAAATGGCACCGCCATCCTTCAAATTAAAAAGAGCCATCCCAGGCTCTGTCCTTTCCCTCACCTCCATAAGCTACTGGAGTCGGTAGCCTTTCCCTTCTCCAGGGGATCTTCCCAACCCAGGGATCGAACCCAGGTCTCCCGCATTGCAGGTGGATTCTTTACCAGCTGAGCCACAAGGCAAGCCCCTAATTCTCATAGAGGATCATCATTTATAATTCTTAAACATCTCTCTTCATCCTCTGTCAGCGTCTTAAGCTGCCATACTCTTCCTTTTAGACCAGTTGTTCTCAAAGTGTGGTCTCTGAACCAGCATCACCTACAACTTCTGGAACTTGTTAGAAGTGTCAGTTCTTAGACCCCACCCAGACCTACTGAATCAGGAACTCTGGGCAAGGGACCCAGCCATAAGCCTGTGAGGTGACTCAGCAGTACAATAAAACCTGGGAACCACTGCCTGGACCACTGCAACAACCCCCTACTTCAAACTGATTTCCTGTCTTCTTTCATATCTCTTCTTCAACAATAGTGACTAGACCATGTTACCTCCTGGCTGAAAACTCTCCTGGGGCTCCTCATGGCCCATCTTCAGGGAACAAAAAAAATTGAAACACTGTAATTAGCATTTTAGGCTCTTTGCAGCTGCAACTAATTTTCCTTTCCTGCCTCATGAACCAGTTTACAAGAAGAAGAAAGATGAAACAGAAGATATATCTAGTGTAGCGCTGGGCTTGGTACATAGCAGGTGTTCAGTAAAGGCTTATTAAATAAATGATGAATGAATGAATGGATGAGTCTATGAATTCCTCAGCCTATTCCTAGGATCCTTTAGGAAGCCTTATAAATGAATACGTCTTCCCAGGTGGCTCAGTGGTAAAGAATCCTCCTGTCAATGCAGGACATGCAAGAGACACGGGTTCGATCCATGGGTCGGGAAGATTCCCTGGAGTAGAAAATGGCGACCCACTCAGTATTCTTACCTGGAAAATTCCATGGATCGAGGAGCCTGGCGGGCTGCAGTCTGTGGGGTCGCAAAAGAGTCAGACACTACTGAGCAGGCACACATGTGAACATGACTCTGGGTAACCTGGCATAGAGCCCAGGTAAAATGTGGAGATGTCACATTATGATCAGTGAGTGATTTTGCTTATGGCTTCTGAGGAGAGGGATGGTCTTCATGGTTTGCTGTTTGGGGGCTCCTTAAAGTTTCCTGGTTGCAGACTCTATTCCCTTTCTTGTTCAGGACCAAGGGACTCCGCACTTTCTGAGGCATGGAGGTGAGCATTGCCAGTTGCCCACTCTCTGCAACACATGCACACATATGGAGGCCTGGAATGTGCACAGGGTCCATATACAGACACATGGGGCACACAACATGCACAGAGACACTTAAGAGAAACACACAGATATGGGGACACAGGACATATATTGACACACAGGTATGCATGTTCAAACATACACAGACTCACATTTGGTGTACTAGCCCTATTGCTCTT